CGAGCAACTTAGCCATATATACAAAAAGTATACATCAGACATACATACGTGGGTTTGCTTGTTCGACGTTAACCAAACGACTCGAGATTGTAACGGCGCTTTCTAATCAGCTTGAAAGTAATGAAGGTCGTGTGGCGCTGATGCTGAAAAAAACAAATAACGAATGGGGTTGTTAACGTAGGACAAACGATCACGTTATGTAAATAGTCCGCTCCCTTTTCGCTGTAAGCGAATTGGTGAAAACACGTATAATAAGATGTCAAAGAACGATGATAGCAAGTCCATCTACAAATAGCTTTATTTGCGCATCAAAAGTTAAAAGATATATAATTTATATGCTCTAAGCATATAAAAGTTGTTTGCATTTTAGTAAAATAATGGCTAGACCTCGGTAGCTTAGAAAGCTAAGGTCAGCATCTGGACACGCGGTCCAAAGAATCGCTAATTTGTATCCATCAACTTGTATCTATAAAAAGGCATATCTAATATAGAGGGTCCTCAAATATGAGTTGATCATGCCGTTCCATGTGAGAAGCTAATAAAATAATGGCTTGTGCAGTATACCTTATTTCATGTTCGACACATTACCATTATCGTTTTGCGGCCTACCCTAAGTCATCGTGTATCTCACCCTAACCCATACCTACGGCCGGTTAGCCTGCCGTCGATTTGGTACCTTTCCTTTAGCACCCTATTAAAGCATATGGTTTAAGTCGTGCTAAGTTCCGTTTGTATTCTGGCGTTTCGCCACAATCTGCTTCTCCTACGACAGCTTCAATTGCTCTGTAATCTGTTTAGCGTAAGTGAGGTCACCATGAACAACTGGGTGTTGTATTTAATCGCTAGCAAAGGTGTGCACCTGTACACTTGTACGATTAAGAGACAAATGAAGTTGAGAATCACCTCGGCGACCCCAACGACGCTGTCGTTACTCAAAAGGATCAAATAATGGTAGAGGACAGTGGGCACAGAAAATCCCTCCCATATCCCTGTTTGTGGGGTTTATGGCCAGCTGATATGGGAAAGACATATGTAACTGAGCTTGGGAGTGTCAAAAACAAACACTGTCCTATTTTTACCACCCTGGAGACCGCTTATTATACGGACCCTCTAATGGCAAATATCCCTCGAGCAATGCATGTTCTGACCCCGATTGTTTTCTAAACCAACGAACGGCCTTGTCAGCGTTAGGCTATTTTGCTGAGTCATGCACACTGTGAACATTACTTGTGGTGCTAAATTACCAAGCACTACGACAGTATATTACCGCTCTATCACGAAAGATACGTACGCGTACCATTGTGATCGTCAAAAAGGGAATGTTTGTGTTCGGATGGAGAATCAACGAAGCACGCTCGTGCTGCACACATAGAAAGAAAAGGAGAAGTGTCAGATAAGACAAAGGCACAGGTAGAGCACTAGAAGGACTGTTTCATCGCCTTTTTTCTGTTCAAGTCTAAAAGGCGCTAAGCAATGCCACATGATGCAACGGAAGATGGCATTTGTGTGCGCGCGCCTATGCACGTAAGCTTCGGTACCTGTTCGAGTCTAATAACGATCGGGCATAGCCAGTATTCCATTGGTGGCATTACTGTTAGTAGAAAGAGTATGAGGTGGGAGGGTAGAGCAACGTAAATGAAAATGAAGAGTATCAGCTTAGTGGTTTCGTCAAATGTTCTTTTCCCAAATGCTTAATAAATCAGGAAATCTGGGTTCTGTACTCCTTCAAATTCTCGGCGACCATAACATACATACGTATGCATATTTGGTCGCTTAAATTTTGGTAACACTCTTGACCGTTCAACAAAACGCACCGATATATCGAGTATATATTTGCTGCAGCTTTTTGATCTGCCTTTCAATATGACACGAGTGACCTTAGGCATCGACCCTTTCTTTCCCTTTCCTTTCGTCTTGCGTGCTCGATTCGTTGTAATTATTTGCTTTTCATCAGTTCTATGGCGTTCTATGGCGGCTATTGCGTGTTACGGCCACAAAGTTTTCTCCACTTGGGACTTTGGAAAACGAAACCTCTTTCGCTTAGTATGTCCGTTCAGAAACCTTTTAGCTTTGCGGAACTATCGTGAATTGTAGTAATGAGGACTATAGAACACTACGCTCGACCGAGAGAAAATCTGCCCTAAGAACTCCGGACAAACAGAAGCGAAGATCTATTTATTTATGGAAAAATGTGCTTTTTTCATATAAAACTTGTCTGTTTTATACAGAGTGTGTCCTAAAAAGTTAGCTCAATAGTGTATCAACACGTATGGGCTGCAATAGATGATTAGTGATATACTCATAGTATTACCATTATTATTCTCCGCCTTCAAACGATATCATATTCTGAAGGATACTTGACCTAGATTCATTAAACTACTATAAATTAGCTATGGAAGACCAGCTGCTCTAGTGATTTTTTGCAGTGTATATTTGTTTGCTGTTCTTATTTAATCTTAAGTATAATCTTGGACATGTCTCTAATGAGTAGCTTTCGGGATTTAAGGAGCCTCTCTAACGACAAGTTCGGGAATCTCATTACAAACAAGTCTACTTGGTTAGCTGATTGATGACTTGCACTTATTCAACCAGAGGCAATCAACTAAAAATGGCGTCATTTTAGCTCGTCAACCGCTCGTTCGGTAGTGTTTTCCCATACTCATCTTCCACTTTAGTCGACCGCGGGCGTTTAGGCTGAGCCTAATTGAAAAGTTCCCACTCACTGAAGCGTGAAGGCTTGATAACGCAAACCTTAACGTTTCGCTACGAGAAGCTTTAGTTGATTTATATCGTTCGATTAGCAGAACCTGGTAGTTCAACTAAAGCTTATGCTATTATTATTTCTTCTTATTATATATATATTTATTACTTCTTGTTTCTCATCCTGTATTACGAAAGTGCGTACAAAGCTGCAACAACATCAGAAGTAACTATTAGTTAGTGTGATTCATTTCAAACAGGTTCGTTCATCATGTGCTTGTTACTCAGTAGTCCTGTGTACTGTACAACCCCACTTCCGGGTTTGTACCATGGCCTTTATCTGATCCACTTCTGACAAAGCGTTTGATCCTATTCGACAATTCAGAACTCGATCGTCGTCTGATTTTCGTCAACCACGTAACCTAATAATAGGCATATTTCGATTTGTTCACCGAAAACAACGAATCGAGCATATTTATGGTATTTTAGTACATCGATCTGGTAGGGCATGAAAGTTAGCAAAGACTCAAAAATCATATTCTTATTTTCATTCCAATCATCATAGCAAAAGGAAACTAATGATAGATTTTGAGCTTCTGGCTCGCGGGGCAATTTTTATGGCGCTATGCGTATTTTTTCTAAACCTCACCAGAGTTAAGACGGGTACTTACTTGTCTGCGTCTATCTGAAATATTGATGGTATTAGATCAGTTTTCTCCAAAAGTGTGGGCTAGACAACTATAAATCTCAGGTCCCACGCAGCATGCTAAGGCCTGCAAAGAATAATCGATGCCCTGGATGACAACAGCCAACAAAAATAGGCTTTCCCATACGAAGAACTAGCAAACACAGTTTCTGACCGTTCATTACTGTGTACTTTCGGAGACATATCATACATTGTTCATGCGATACTATCTACATAGACTTGATCTATTCTCCTAACGCTTTGCTCTGCATATATTTGACTCTCCAGGAGTCGCTACGCTATGGACAAAAGCTGGCAAATGACAACAGAGCCCCAGTTTAATATTTTTAAGAAAACTCCTTTGTCATCACTTGAAAACAAATCGCTTGGCAAAACACAATAACAGTAATTACAGAGTTTTAGTGATACCATTGTATTTGTACTACTTCGGTTTGACCAGCCTTGAAGTGAACCTACATATGGCAGCTGCAGAAGAAGAACCACCGCTTTGTCCGTAAAATGTATTTCGCTAGCGAGGGACGTTCTCCGTCTGCATAACTATGAACTCCAGGCACGAATGAGAGAAAAAAGGCAGAATCTTTAGTTCTATATCGCTTGGCCAGTAAGATGGGCCTTTATAGCATTCCTAGCAAATGCAATTCGAGTCTTGAATCCATGAAGAAGAAAGAGTAAAGTTTCTGAGATGGAGGCTCCGCTTTTTGGCGACATCTTCGCCAAATACACCCTTATACCCAAAACCGTATTTTGCTATTACGAGCATCGAGGATGAAAGCGTCTTTTCATTCCTATTTGGTGAGAAATAAGAGATAACAAATCCATTGATACTACCATATAGTTAGGGTACATTATTCTGATACATTAAGCCGCTTCTGGGCATGCTTTGTGATAAAAATTAGAACCGAGAACTTTTAGCAGTCAGGTGTTGGAGAAGTTCGCGAACGATTCTTTTAGAGTCCTCTTTATTAGCGTCCCGCCTATAAGCTCTAGGTCCAGCTTGGGCATATGCTCCACTGTTTCAAGCAAAGCCAACTGTTTCAAGTAGCACAAACGGAACTCAACTAGTCTTCCAGCGTACTTGACAGCAACACAAGAACTTGCTTAACCGTTTAGTTAAATTACTATTACTGCTATAATAATAAAATCGTTATAGTGCCATGCCAACCTTGCTTTTCCTTTAGCCTTTTCTGGTTTTTCGAAGAAACCGCTTTGTTGGTGCACCTACGCCTATTCCTTGTGGATTTCCGGAATATTTTCTGGGCATATCAGTGGCGTAATAGCTCTACGTAGTTCGAGAGCAGGTTACGGTGAAGTTAGAGCTCTGAGTTAAATTGGACATCATATTTGCAAACCGACGTTTGTTATTGTTCTCTGTCAGAAATCCAGCTAATCATTCGTATGCCCTGTATTTGCATGCACCAACTGACTAGCGTGCAGAATCGTATATCGCCTTCTTGAACTTATATAACAATGATGTATGATTAATAATTATATTGGCAAAATGAAGATCACTTCCTGAAGATTCGATGAAGTATGATGACATTTGCACTTGTAAGCAAACATGGAAACTCTTACTGTTGTTGTTGTATGATTGTAGGGTGTCGGCATCCAATCGAATCTACCGCCCGTTTCGTATGTAAAAGCCATCGATGTTTGGATGGGCGTATGTACCATGTTCGTGTTTACGGCATTACTCGAATTTACCTTTGTCAACTATCTCTGGCGCAAAAAACCCCACGCCGTATCAGATCTGGTCTGTGTAGCGCAACAACAGCAACAACAACAACAGCAGCAACAGCAACAAAATCGTCCAACAGATATCAAGACGGTGAGTGAAAAAGAAAAATTAACAAGAAAAACGCCAATATTGTTATTAACTGTAATAGTTCCTGCAGGTGATGTTTGCGAAAGAGCAATTAATAAATTTGTAGTCCTCGACACTCATTGACATCATCTGTCTCGTTCATCAGGGCTTGCAATTCAAAGTTCTAATCGTCTGGACGATTCTCGTATCAACATACCATGTTTAATCACACGTACCTTAGACTCATTTTAGCTGCCACAAAGTAGACACTTAGCCCTAGTTATCCAGGCCTCAAAATGGCTATGTGAAACCATGAACAATTTCCAGTGGCCTGAATGGTTCGGTCTCGCAAATGTTCAATAGCGTTCATTTCCAAAACCCAAATTGTCTCCTTGAACCAAAAATTAATATGGTTCATCGTCTTTTATCGGGTGCGTTTTGGAGCTACCGTAGCTGACGGCAAGCTCGGTAGCAACTCCAGTACGCATCTACGTGTTGCAATTATGATAATGGTATACTATGTGCTGCGCCAATGCCGAGTATGCAATCATGTACTGCCTGGCTTTTTTTAACGACCAAATGTCAGACAGCGCAACTGTCACTGCTCAAAACTCGGCTGCTTTTAGCTTTGTGTAGGATATTAGCTATTTCGAGAGCTACAACCAACAGGTGCGACCTGCAATATCCATAGATTACCTTGTTTTATTCGACAAAACCTCGTTTGATTTCAAAGTCTCTGGAGCGTTCAAATCGGAACTCTGAGATATAACCAAAAAATGTATGTCGAAGAGTGTTGGGTGAAGAGTTACACATTTGAAAGAAATATTACCAGTACGTCATACCGATATCTTATAATTGAAGATTGCTAATAATGATTGGCATAAAGATCATTCTTCATTTTGTAGTAGGCCGACGTTTTTTTCATTCTATATTACCATATCAAAAAATAAAGCTATTTGTCTAGCCGCGTGCACTACCAATTATTAGTTAGGGCCAGCAATAAAAAAACGTGAGAATTTCAATAAGGAACTTTTCGGGAAGGTACTTAGCACCTGTAGCGCGGAGCAAAGTTTTAGTGCATTAGGTCACTATTACATGATGCCGTTAACCGCGACAAACTTTACGAAAATTGTACGCCGGTACAGCTGTACTGGAGAAGTAAAGACGATAAATTGAATTCATGCTTCAAACCCGCTTATAAGCAACCTCTAGGGGGAGAATGGGGGCAATGGCGACATGTGTGTGTGTGTGTGATTTTCGAAGCTCGGCCGATGTAGTTAGATTGAAGGAAGAACGTTACTAGACGAGTTACTGAAAAAACCAAAAATTAGTTGATGAGTCAACGTTATTCTGACACGTTCATTTCTGTTTTAAGTTTTTTTTTACGAAAGCCCTTTCTGCATTTGACGCTCATAATCAGCATTTCCAATTCTAGTACTTCCGGTACCGACCTAAAGTCCTGCTAGTCGATTCAACAGGCTTGCCTAACTTTGATAACAGAAATGATCGAAGCATGAAAAAAAGTTACATTCCTTTTTCTGAAAAAAAAACGATGTGAACTTTCATTAGGTACTACACATAGTGTCGACTGTCTTCACCCGGTATACGTAAGCGGAGTCCGATATGATCGATGGCACGTTTTCCCAAACGACGAAGCAGGTTGTTTCGTACTTCCTCATTCTAGTTATTACGGCCTTTCGTTATAAATTAGCTATAAGAAACATTGTCTGGTACACTCTTCCCCTCACCACTTTACCTTTATAATTTCCTCCTACTTTTTTCTGTTTTTGTCGACCTTGTGCATTCGTACCTGCCTCTAGATTATTTTCGTCGCATAGATCGTGCCCGTTATCTCGTTTACTTTATTTTTTACGTCGTCACACGTTAGCCGTGTCTTACCGCCTGGTTTGAGCAGTATGTTGCCAGGAACGAACGGCCATTCGAGGCGTTTCTGATGGCTAATCTGATTTCGGAGGTGGCAGATACCCATAACAATCAGTAGGTAAGTAGTTGTGTCACCGGTTGATACACTTACTTGGCTCTATCCCAGATAAAATCTGACTCATACTGTTATTCAGCTACCGACAACACTCCTTTCCAGTCAACAGCAGACAAGCTCTGCATAACAAGCTCAATGTCTGCCTCTGACTGTTATCAATCCACTCACATGGGTAGATGTATATAACGTATAACATACATACACAACGGACCTTTTGGCGAAAGCAAAGAGGCCCTGTTGCATGTACGATAAAAGCACACACGACAGAAGCTTATAATTTTCCGACTGACTGCCAGCAGGCGCACGATATAAGCTATACGAATAGCAACATATATGGTATATTAGAGCACCCATCCACACAAATGCCTCCTAGTGGTCTCACCATAGATAAATTAGGTGACGTCACCTAATGCCTATATTTATTTATATGGTCGTTAAAATTGTTATGAATTATTTATAACACCTAATAGTTAATCCTAGTATGTATTTTAATCCTTAACAGTAAGTGACTTCGGTAACGAGACGTGTGTGACACGTCAACGTCTACAAACGATCACTTTTAGCTCAGCGATCTAACTTATCGTATATTGTTCCTCTATAAGAAGTGGGGGGCTCTGATACCGCGAATAGCAAATGTGATACTAGTGACCACTGCTATCGGCCTTGTTTGCTAAATCCAGTAAATATATGGAACGGAGTTATGGTAGAAAATTAGCGGTTCCAGTGCGTTGGACACAGAAACCGAACGTACACCGAAAAAGAAAGAAGACGAAACTATGAAGATATATGGATATCTATGTAAGGTCGACTTGATCTTGCAAAGCTTGCGATGAAGCACGGCCGACATAGCCTTGAATCTTTTGTTCAATTTGGGTTACTTAGGCCTACCGGCAAGTGGCAATAAACGAGACGATATAGCGAGTTGTGATCAAAAGGGATCATTTAGCCCTTGCGTCTGCTTGCCTCTACTCGGCGAAGTCCTCTGTCGCTTTAGCTTTCAGCAGAACTTTTTGCCCCTTCTGTCCGGCCGTGCGTAACCGGAGAGGAGAATGTGGAAACAAAAGGCACAATAGCGCATAGGTCCTTACCCAGGAGACAGTTAAATAGGCGGGATTGACCGTCCGAGGTTCAACATCCACCGCCTAAACGGCTCACCCAGCTGAGTGTCCCGTCATCCATTTTCTGTTTTACGCTATAAGGTCAACAAAGGAACCGTCGTACAAGCAAGCTAGTGACCGAACGGGGCAATTGCACATGTTATGTACCTAATAGTAGCAATCACTACTACTGCAGTTGCAGACTAACAAGGGCAAAGTGGGAGGGAGGAAAGAACGGTGCCCATGGATACGTATCCGAGGAAAATGGCGGACTAAGTGCAAACACACTTTCGCTAGTTCAATGCTGGTGGCGGTGTTAAATTGTACATCTGGAGGCAGTCTGTAATGTGTTCCCTAAACACGCCCTTACTAGTAGCTTATTGTTACTTTTAGTCGACACCCAGTGAACACACGTGAGAATGTTTGCCTGCGCTGAGTAAATCCTGCACAGAGCGTGCCTGCCGCCTCTTGCTTTTTGCTATTACCGGTCAGCCTAGGCCACTGGCTTTTTTGTTTCCATGATCTGGGAAGGAAAGTAGCAGTAAAAGCCGTTTTAAAAAAACTTGGCATGTGTCTTATAAAGACTAAACATAGCTCGTATGTTGAAAATGCGTACGATTTCGGCTCTTCGTATTCAAGCTTGTGAGCCTTAAAGCGGGCAAATTCAATAACGGCAGAATGTTTTTGTTAAGACCGGGAAGGGAGTACTAATTCCACTATTACGATTTTCTGCATAGTAACACGTCTCAACGAAATGCACCTGAGATTTTTCCTTAACAACACAGATCTATTTACGCATACAGTTGGCCTTTGGTTCCTGAAATCATCCCAGAAATTTACTACTCTAGCGCTTCATGTCAACAATATTTTGGTGGGCATGTTCTGTTTGTATTTTACCCATCGTTTAATGGGCTAATATAGGCATTTTGTAAACCTCGCATAATCGAAAACAACCTCTCTTTCCGATTTCAAAGCTTCATTTGTGTTTATATATATATATATAATACTCCAATTTCAGGTCATTCGCGGATCTAACTTTTGACATTATAAGAAACCTTTGCTTAAATAAGGGATGCGATCTTTTTTTTCGGTTAGTTATCCACTGTGGCAGTTGAGCCACTTCTTAATGGGTCGTTCGCCTAGTATAGTAATAATTAGTCCTTGCACTACGCGCTTAAATTGATCTCTCAGTGTCAGTTTGTAAGGTCCGTAAGGGGGGTTTACGTTTATCGATGAAGGGCGTAGTTGTTTTTGTTCGGTATCGAACTAATAGAATAACATAATTAAGGAGGTGACGTCACGATTATGATAAACAGTACAGTTACGATAAAACGGACAGGTGCGCAGTGAAGCGTATACATCTCTCTGTAAAGGATCAGCTTTTTCGCTATAAACAACGTTCGCCTCGGAGTAGCTTAGCCATTTATCTCATTCTGTTAGTAAGAAATGTATTTTTTCTTAAGTAACACATATTGTTTTGTTGCTGCTAATCAACTATTATTATCAAATCCATTAGAACTAGTTCAACCAATACGGTCTTTCTCCAAGATAATATATTATTAAGGTATAGTTATTAGGGAGGTATAAAATCTGAGTGTTACCGCAGCGTAACGTTCAGGTTATAAAACTCCCGTAGATACCTTTCAAATTGGAACCATTGCTCTGACGGAGCGTAACAGATCCTTGATGTTATATACAGCACAAGAGATAATAATAGCTAGCAATGGAGACTTGATTGAATAGTAAAAAAATTCGATATTTACAGAGGATCTACTAATAAACTACTTGTGAAAATACAGTAAATATATAGTACAATGAGATGATAAAACTTAGTTTCTAAAAGTGAGGCAGCCGTCCCAGTTGATTCTTCAGTGAACCCCTAACGAAATATCAAGACCTGAACTATAGTGTCATATTGTTTAGACTGTTGTTAGACTGACTATAAACAAAATCAGCAAGGAAAGTGCCTTTTTATTTTCTATATTCAAAGCTTACCCTGAGGACGGCGGAAAAAATTCCATATTGGACAAAAAATGCCATCATCAGTCAGTTAACAGCGCTAACCTATAATTCATACATTGTATTGTGTTTGCGTTGTAGATAACGACAAACAATGGCGGGACCCAAACGGCAAATGTGGTAAGTATCTATTGAAGAGAAAGTTCGGATAGACGCACATCTCTAGCACTCTAGGATGTATAGAGTCAGTATTTATAGATTGATTGTATGGCAGACATCTTGCGCTTAGCAGTTTGTGTTGATCTGCTAAAGAACTATCCGGACAGTTATAGACGCGACCGGATTTTCAATACAAATTGTTTCAACATGACCCATTCTACTTGCTCCCTTACGTTGGAATGAGCTGTGAAGACGCATTGTGAACTATATGCAAGGCAAAATACCGTGTATCAGCTCTTTAACGATGTATCTATACGACACGGATTTCAACCAAGTAGTTATTGGAAAGCTCTACTATCTGTAGGCCGCTCGATCATTCAAGAACAAGTAACCGCTTCGTTGAACGTAAAACGTGCATTTAGTATTTTTTCTAAATTTAGATAGGACAATTCGCATCTCTGTCAACTTACTGCATTCATCGAGCACGAAGATGTAAGAAAATTTAGTAGAAATAAATTAATGCCATATAGATTTTCAATTTCGCTTACCGTGTGTCGTTTGGCTAGCAAAAAAAAAGCTTATTTTTGTTCGACTTGAAGCATACTGATAACTATAGTTTATTGATTAACTTTATTGATGATCGACACACGTGTCTCACAGGCGCCCTTCGAATACTTATTAGCCATGGTCTACGTTCTAGCAGATTACTTTATTTAGCCCATATTTACTATGAACGATTTTTTACCTGTAATTTTCATTCATTAAAAGGAATAATACACATATTTCCTATTTTACGATTTTTTATATTTATTAATTATGCTATTAATTTAGAATCTTCCCCTTTAATAAGTTCCTTATAAGAAATTATTTTATTTATTTATTAAATTATGAAACGTTTTTTATATGCCTCTGTTTGGATGGTTTTATTTTATTTATCTATTTAGAATCACATATGGCAAACTTATTTTCCACGAAGCTATTATTATACAATGAAGAACGCGTTGACATTCATTAAATATTCTTTTAGTAATATTGCCAGGGCATTGCGTGGATTTCACTTTAAGCCTATTCGAACCTCGTATTGCGTTCTTCGATAACTGAGCGCTCACTCCAGTCTCCGATCCGTATAAAGATCACGAGGTTCTACCGAAAAAACTTTAAGACTATGCTGCATTTGCTTACATAGTCAGGGCTGGTGTGAGCACCAAGAGGATCCAAAATTGCACTATTTTTTTTTTTTAACTATCTCTAGTTAGGAACAAACATGTTGGCATGCTTTTCCTCAAAGTGTTTTTAATGTGTGTTCAGTCCTTAATTGCTACCCGAAAATGTTCATTACGTTTGTATTTACCACCCTTTCAGATATAGACAGGTGTACGTCGCCAGTGCACCGTTTACGCTTACGTCTTGATTACAGTAATAGTACTTTATCATTCGGTAAATTCGGGTTTCCCATATAGTTTTTCTGCCCATAGATAAAACTTGATGCTAGACTCGATCTTGAAATTTTAGATATTATATTAGTAGATATATGATTTTTTCAGCGTTCTATGGAATCGTGAGTTCGGTACATAGAAAAGCAATGTTGAAGATTGCGCAGATCTTTTATTCTAACATGGCAGTCGAGTATATTAGCAGGGCCAATATGACTGTCGCTGTGTTTTCGAGTCGTACATCCAGAGCCGGTCTCCGGAGCAAAAAAGAAAGAATCTGCAGATGTTGTGTTTAGTAGCTCTTTTGATCCACTTTCATTCGAGTAGATCTGGACCGCCTCAGACATCAAACACTAGAGGCGAAAATATAACTCCTCAAGACGATTTGTCACAACTTCGAAGCGAAGCTTTTTCTACTCGTTTAACTGCTGACCCTGCCGACGTGTTGCTCCTATACATACATATATATATATATAAAAGCAGCCAGCTTATCGGTTACGATGACGGCGGAAATCGGGATCCCCGCCAAATTCGAGCGGTCGGTCGAAGATTAACTGCATTACGCAACAAATATTAAAGTAGAACAATTGATTGTGCAGAGCTTCGATCCTTTTTTTCGACTGACAGTCGAAGGTTATAATGACCTCAAAAATTGGTAACCGGACGAACCAGATTTTCCTGTCACACTGTGTCACCATGCATCATAATAGGTAATCATCAAAATAAGCATTCTTTCCAAGAAACTAGCCATTTTCAGAGAGTGTCTAAAAATCTACGCCCTATACCTTTTTAAAGTATGCCTGTTGTGTGAGAATGTACAGGATCAACCGATGTTTTCCAACAAAGGCTTGTTTTTGTAGACTTTTATTTATTCATCTGCAAGGAACACAATGATAGCCTCATAAGAATTCCGCGTTAACTTCCACACGTGTATAGGGGGCCACTATCGAATCAATTTTCTTTGTTTGCGTAACGCAGTTGTTACGTATACGCATAGCGATTGAATGTCAAAGATATTTTCACGTCTCAGGATCAGTTACCTCGCTTCATCGTCCTATTGTGCGAGAATAGAAGAATGCATATAGCAAACCTTAGATTTAGCACGCCGGTGGTACGAACCCTCTCAGTCAGGATAAAACATTTGCTTTTACCCTGTTCCTATTTTCTTTCTATCGGTTAGGGACGAATAGACTGAAAGCAATCTTAGGCCTAGATTGAATTGAAAAAAAAGCTGTCCTCGAGTTGCGGTACACTGTCATAAGAGTGTTACAAGCTAGACATGCGAATCGTCAATAGCACGACTAGCTATATGTCAGAGTGGATTTTTGTGTTTGTTTTCTAACCAGACTTTTTTCATTCATATATTTACTTGATCGTTCACAGGAGAACGTGGAACCGGCAGGTATTTTGGCTGACAGTAGAGCACGTTTTAACAGCCATCTGCAGGCTTCATCGTTGCAGATGTCGCACGGCTCTGCAGCGACTCAGCTGTTCGCGTTCTACCTCAACTGCAATCAGGTGTGCGCGAAAAGAATCGACCGATTATCGCGCATTGGCTTCCCCAGTGCATTTCTAGTTTTTTGCATGATATATTGGCCATATTACCTACATGTGGCTAATTAATGAGTGGCCTGCCTTTCTGCTGTTAGATATACCTATAGAGAACTCGCAAGCTTATAAGTGAACGCACCCTGATACGCTACAGATAGCTAACCTTTTCCGGCATCTCCAGATCTGGGTTCGATACGAACTTTAATCGAAATATTTATATTTGATCCAGCGAATAGAAATAATATCCATCTAATCTGTCGCTTCTTGGTTCAGCCTTAGTGCCGATAGCACACTTGAGATGCGTAAATTTCTAGCCACTTGCTATCTGACGATAGTAGAACCGAAAATGTCAGGGAGAAATATAAAATGAAAAATATCGAATCAGGTACCGAACGATACCTAATGCCTGGAGATATTTTCTTTGTTTTTTTTTTTCTAAAGAGTTTCTTCAACTTGATCGTGAGTGAGCGTCTGCGTAAATTCTAGCCAAATATGATTGAAACTATAGTAATTTACAACCATACAAACTATACTGCTTTGCCAACCGATCAAAAAATTAAAAAAAAAAAAAAACAGTCTTTACGAGTCAGCTTTTCGTCAAAACCAATAGTCCTCAATTAAGAAAAATAATGAAAATCATAAGTGTAGGCAGCGTCAACTGAAGTCTTCGTAGCTTTACATACATATATGGCTGTACATGTATGGTCTTCTGTTATTTCTTATGGGAGACGTTCAGGATTGTCGAGTTTTCGCTTGGTGTAGATCCATACTATATATACATATATAGTCGCATAGCATAGAGTGGTCTTAAACAGTTATTATAACAAACCATAGGTATATACACATAACGCAAAATATATAAAAACAAGGATATACATACCGGAAAATTCATATGGCAGTTCACTCTGGAGCCGTGATTTTAGGACAGTCGATTGGATTTGCAGTTTTCGTTAATTGCAGTACATTTGGGACGCCCTTAATTTCTAGGACGATGTGTATGTATAGCACGGTATAGTTGGCTTCATACCGACAAGATTTATCGCTAAAAAAAATAGTAAGCCAAACTGAAAGGGAGTTAACTGCTAAATAAACATAGCTTTTAAAGTTAACGTCATTGTGACATGCAATCGCCAAATGTATATAAACAAAAACACGACAAAGTCTCCTGAGTTCACTCTGTACAAAAAAGCTATGAGTGTCCCTGTCTTCGTTGTACATAACGTCCTTGTATGACACATATGCATTCGCTTCTAGGTAATAACTAGCCGGCTAGCGCTCCCATTGATAATAGACGTGTGGAAGCAATTCCGCTTCGTGTAGACCTATATTCCAATTTTTGTTGTAAACTATTTATATTTTTCTACCATGTTGTAATAATAATCTAATGAGTTACTATCCTGCTCACGTAACTTCGACGCTTACTATTATACGTACGTTTACCTGTTTTCAATATTGTATATAGTGGTAAGTTTGGGCCTATTAATTGTGGATGAGCAAAGTTCGCTATCGAACTGCTTCTTACAAAGAAAAAGCGCTAGTTTGAATAGTTTAGAGTTGCTCTACGGATGAATAAAACACACCCATTTGACCAATCAATGGACGTCTCACAATATAAGTGGTCGATTCCAACGAGGCTGAATATGGTGAGTCGTACCATATAACTTTACTAACTTATGATATGTTACTTACCGTGGACAAACTTGGCGTCATTGGGTGGTTGGGCTTCACGACGAAATGTAGCACTCAGTAATGAAGTAAACTTATTATCGCAGGAATACCGTACCGCTAGGTAAGCAGACGAACAGGTGAGAGTTATTGTGGAGCTGTGTCTCGTGTCAACACTTTCTGCCAAAAAGCGCTGCTATTAACCGACATTAGAAAAAGCCGCTTCTGGCGATAGGGTTCGGGCAAATACGTATGAAAGAGATATGTTTTCTGTTGATCATCTGCAATATCGTCTCGATCATAGCTTAGTTAAAAAAACGTGTCCTAGTAAGGATCTTCCTATTGAGACCATTGGTTCAAGCTACATTACAATATTAATATGTTGAACCGAAAGAAAATTTCTTTCACAGAAGTGCGATACCGTCCATGTGCGCAAGTCTCGTCTCGTCTTTTCTATATAAACGACAGCAGAACAGAAGCACTTTTGTTTCGTCTTGTCAACGAGCTCTTTTCAAATAGTCAGTAAATGTCTCTCCTTTTTCTACTACGGTGTGAACTTGACTGAAATTTAGGTGCATTGCTAAAGGTCGTTTTGAAACTTTAGAGAAAAAGTTTAATTTACTATTTTCTATATATATTTTTCTATCTAATATATCTACATATTTTCTAAAGGTCACATACCGTAATATTTCCCCGAAATGTTTTATACTTTATTGCTTCTAGTTCGCAATTATCTAGGCATAGCTACTACATTTGCGTAACAGCGTCGCCGCTTTATCTTCTTCACAGCCATCTTTTTTCAACAATGTACGGATATCCTTTGCGAGACCAAAGTTCGTATCACACTAATGATGATAATAATAGTAATCTAGGTGTCGTAAAAAAATGTCAACGATTCCTGAGGGTTTAAACCTTGGCCGGTTTTTGATGTTCCAATGCAACACCGAACCAACCGCAAAGATCACAATCGATTCATGGTATCGTCAGAGAGCTGACATATTACCATCCTCACGCTAACGTAGGTGCATAACCGTGCTGCGTGGGCCTTGTACGTATAATGTTTAACTAAAAGCATGATAAAGACCGAGGAACGGTCAGCACGAACCGCCACACCGCGTCAACGACTACTTTTGTCGCCTACAAGAGATATTTCGTCACCTTCAACGACCAGAGGATATTAAACAAGGAAAAAATGCATACGTATACATAGGAAATACAAATAGGCGAAACACGTAGAAGCCGGTTTAGCAATGCGTTTGCGTGTAATTTTGCCGGAAATGTTTTTCGCAGGTAAACGCTATCGTTGCGTTTAACGTCATACACACACATATATGTACCATAAGTACGCATAACTAGTTTATGTACTTAGGACTGTTGGCGCCACAGGTGAACGATAATAAGAAATATCTTCATTTGGATTATCATTATTTCTGTTCATAGAACATATATATTTCTTGGAATGAATATGCTGTGGCAGGCAGTGCGTCAAAATTACCTATGTTTTACAGTATAGCTACACATTAGCTTAAATCAAGGTTGTTCGTACATATGTGTGTAGGTAGATACACACGCATGACAAATAAGAAACATTCCATCAGGTATATAGATTTATTACTATCAATCAATATTGGATTTCCTTTATTACGATTAAAGTTATTAGAAAAATATTTAAATAGCCTTTAAAATCGCGCTTCGGGATAAAGCCATTTTCATCTTGTTGCGGCTCACCTTCTGTAGAAGTTTGTTAATAAACATACATAATATTACTATCTACCAGTCGCTGTTTTCAATTATACTGTAAAATGTACTCAAGTTCACATCGCAATTATTTGAGTACTTATTACTATTGTTGTTACTATTATAACTATTATCAACCTTCGTCAGTTTTTCATCCCAAGTTCTAGGGTTCATTCTGAGGGCTTCCGTTGCTGAAAGCTCGAAGCGGCGTCATAGGTTCTCAACCAACAGTTGCAGGTCGGTTAGGATATAAGCAAGGCCGTTTCGGGTGATCATGTCCAATCGGAGCTATTTTGAAGTCGAAGGAGCCAAGAGCAGTCGAAACAGGCAAGTGATGAAGCGATTCAACTAACTGTGCGGCTAACACAGATGCCTTCCTGCGTCTTTCGGTGATGTACGTGGTGAAACTTCTGCCGTTCGAAGCGACCAGCAACCCCAAGATTGGAAACCGGTCTACATAGACTAGAGGCGATCTGTTCGGAGTAGTATAAACTATATTCCGAACCAAAGCCTAAGATTCTGATGATCCAGCGTTTAGTGGGTGAGAGTTGCACAGTACCAGCCAGACAACACATCTGTGAAGTCTGGTCTGCATGCATTTGCCCTCGAAAAAAAAGAGGCGATCTGTCCAAAAACAAGAGATCAGTGACTGCTGTCCCGCCTCCCCTTCTAAATTTTGTCGCCTCTGTCTTGGTCAGGTTTACGGTTAGTCCTAAGCCTGTGATCGCCACGTGAGTTCGAACAAAGGCGTGCTGTATTTGGAAGTTGTTCGACCTGAGAGCGTTTTCATGGAGAACGACTTCAACTGATTTACTCGGTCCTCTTATTTAATCAGAGAGGCTCTTCCCCAAGATGGAGAATAAGAGTGAACTTATACTGTTTCCCTAAGTTGTATGGGTGCCTAAGAAGGTTCAGCGTATATTTAATATTACTCTTAGCTGTAAAAACAAATTCAAGTTTGTATCTTCCTTCTTTACAACACTATTGCCCATCCATAAAAAAGCTGAGATTAGCTCCGTCAAATTGACCTGGTATTCCACCTCATACGCAAGACTTTTCGTGCTTCTCAATAGCTGACTTCTTCAAAGATTGCTTTAGACTGAAATACTGGTATTCGTCCACAAACTCCGCAGTTTATATTAGATTGGCCTGCTTATAAGGCTCATCGCTTCTCAGAGTTCAAACTGAGAAAATACGTTTCAGCTAGCGAAGCTGATTAGAGTAGAAATGTAGATTTCTGAAGAAAGCGGATTAGATAGATAAATAGATAGACTTCCGTTCGACGCGGTCGACGTTCCAAGAATTGCGGGTGTATCGACTTGTATAATTAAACTGGGCTGAATTCAACTCTGATTTTAATGAGAGTCTACCTTTCAATATACTTATGCTGGCTTGTTATTATTATATTTTATCCCCAGGTTAATATTGAAGAGGATAAAGAAAAGAATGGCGCATTATCAACGTTTACGGACAAAGGTCCCTCCTACAGAGTCCTCTTCATTACCTTTGGGTAAAGGGAGCGCTACAGAAATACAGTTACTTCGACAACTTCACGAAACACTGAAGGATGCTGATTGCACGAAAATTTCCAAATCAGACTATGCATGAACGACGGAGACTATATATATGTAGATGAGTAAATTGATCTTTCGCTATATATGTGATACAGTCTGCATAGTAAACATCACTATTTATTCACACAAATTATGTAGTACGTATTGAATTGGTTTTGATTCAGCACAAAATACTTCGACGAACGATACTACGCTTCGATTGTACCGAAAAAAATTGCGAAACAATTAGAAAGTTAGTGATAGTTTCATTAAGTAAATTTTCTTGTATATTGAATACGTTTCACAAGGAAGTTACAAGCAATTTTTGTCAAGTTATTAAGAAGGTGTGAATGCACCTCATCAATATGAGCGCTGCAGGGATATCGTAACTACCTGCATTTCTGTACCGATAAACGCCACTTCGGTCTTTTGGTCCCTGCTTGTCTGATAACAGAAGTTGCTGAAGTATAAAAGGTTTGTTTTTATTTATCAACGGGTGCGATACAAAATGGCCGAATCGTGACGCTCGAAAACGATGAGACAAAGATGCAGACAAACGATGTGAAACGTTTGTTTTTTTTTTGTTGTCATTTAAGAGTTACTACTAAATTAAATAGCTCATTATAGTTTTATTGTTTGATTTAATAGTAACTGAAAATGTTTTAAGGTTAACGAAATATAAATTAAAATGTGTTATCTTTTGAGTTTAAAGTTTATGCGCAAGTTCGCTTATGATGAGAGGATACTTGTGTAGCGGACGCCAGAATCTTCGAATATATTCACCAGGGACAATAGAACGCAGGCAGAAATCCTAAGAAGCGCCTTAACGAGACACACCCGACGATACACGAAATTCGGCAAAACAGGCCATCTACTATCTCAGAAGAGCTTCCTTAGAATCTGGCAGCCCCTGCAGAAGCTGCAGTAAAAAACAAGCAAACGGCTAGACGCAATTCCGTCTATCGTAGTGAAAAACTTTGAGCTGTTGACGTGTACCGAGCTCTCATGGGCTTTCGGTAAAGGATATGCACCAGAAATTTAGGACGGCTTTGTCCATAAAAAAGCTCAACGGCAGCCTTCTACAATAACCGCCCGGTACCATTAATCTCTGTAGCGCGTAAAGTCCTGAAAAATATGGCTCAAACTATATACGAAAATGCCAATGCACGAGGAACCGTATTGGATGTGTAGTTTGCCTATAGGCCTGAATACTATTCAATATTCCAACTATTGAATATTGAATTCCATTGGATGATCAAGCATAACAGGTTTCAGTGCTGCGACGCTAAATGCTTCAACTTTAAATCCGTATTTAAACGTGTCCCACGCTGGAAGCTGCTGGCTCTTCTTCCGCAACTTAGACATTTTCAGCTAGCTTGGCTTGAAGCTATTCTTAGCAGGAGAACTTATGGCGTTCATGTGAAAGGTCAATATTCTAAGAATGCTAGTGTAACACCTATATGTCCGGAAGGTACAAGTACAGATTGTCTACCTTTTTCAAGTCTTAAAAACACGCAATGTGTGTCGCGATTCACACGACGCAGCGTTTCAATTGGACTCTAAGGACTTTTCGGCAAGAGATTCTAATTTATGCACCAAACGGTTGTCGCATATAGATATTTTGAACCAATAGTGACTCGCGCAGTGCCGGTGTGGAGTCCAAGATACGCAAAAGATCCTGATTACAGTTGCAATAAAAGAAACAAAACGATACTTTAACGATCTTTTCCCATCGGGTCTTTCACGTACGCTTAGAGAATGGGTGTTTACATCTCGTCTTGTAAAAGTGTAGCAAACCTTTTCGATAAAACGCGAACAAACATAATATATAGTAACGGTCTATTGCGAACACGGCAATTGCTTTATATCCGGACTATCCTCTAGAGTCATATTATATTTTTCAATGCATATTGGGATTCATATTATCTTATGATCGAAACCCTCTATGCTTCGATTTCTAGGTCCGATATCGCCCTAAACGTATAACCCTAAAAGGTATTAAAGGTTTTTTTTAGACGCTTTCGATTATTCCTACTTTTTTTAAACAATTCCTCAAAATCATCTCTTTATTATATTATCAGCGGCTTTCCTTTACTAGTAGTAGGTTTAGCTGGAACGGTTCTCGCCGAACTTATCGGGGGTTTCTTGAACAGACCCTATGAAACGGTATGCTAACCTTATATCGTGGTAACTATTTGCCATCGGCTATTATCGTTAAGAAAGGCCTAAAAATGGCGTCAAATTGGCTTTGTTAAGAAAAGTTACTAAGCAACTTCTGCTATCAAGTGAGGGGTTGATAGGTTGGCATACAAAAAATTCCGCCGCTTTTAAACACGACGTTCTATTGTACTGAGCGAAACTGTCGTAATGAGACAAGTGCTTACGGTTTTATTCAGCTAGAAAAAGAATATCTCTTCGGTGAAACAACATTCAGTCCTAAGCATTGTTGGAAGCTGCATCGATACGAACCATGCGCTCCTAAAGCTTTGCATATTACCGGGTTATAGTTGATTTCTTTCAAATAGGCTAGCTCGCGGCACAGATCTGAATTTTGTTTAAGATGCATTCAAGTCACTATTAGCAACTTTATTAGTTTCTGGAAGTTGTAAAAAGGAATTCACCAAGTTCGCGCATTCAGTGGAAATCAGATGCCAGTCTGTATAAAATCTAACATAGGTATGCGAAATCAGCCTGATTTGATATCCAATAACCTTGCCGTCTGTCCGCTAGCTGGCGGGTTATGCTTGTATCCTCTAGTTTTTTCGGATACGCCGGTAGACTTTGCACGTTACGAAGTTAGGATTACTGCCAGCTGTGAGCAATAAAAATTCAAAATGGCGAAATAAAAAGCTGTAAATTCGCTAAACGTAGACGAAGTAATAAAGATATATTATGAGTAGTTTTGGTCTCTATTGAGCTGCTAGTCGATAAGTACCTTATCGAACGGATTGATAAAGCGTATGCATCTGCAAAATTGTGCTAATTTTAAGCAAAATACGAAATTATAAGTGTATAGAGGCTACAAAATATTACATATGCTCCAATCTGACCGTCACAGTTTAATCAGACGCAGAAAAATTCAAATTAACAGCTCCACATATTTCAACTTCCAATAACAAAGTCCCTTATCTCGTTTTACAAAATCTATGCAAATGATGGAGGATGTAAAAACGGATGATGGCCCTGTCTCTAACCTCTATCAATGCTGCTGAAGCATCTATCCTTATTTAATGGTTATTTGGAATTCACTTAGCGACTCTTACGTTACGGTAATGTGATTCCTTCTATATATCGAACTGCGTATAGATATCTATGATGGTTTCTTAGCGATGTAGTTTTTTTCCATCTACTGGGTCCTTGGCGTCCCAATTTTAACCCGCATCATCGAACTGGCATCAAATTTCCTTTGGTCCAAAA